GAACTCCTGAGCTCAAACGATCCTCCCGCCTTGGCCTCCCAGAGTGCTAGGATTACAGGTGTGAGCCACCACGCCAGCCTTTAGATAGTTTTTATTGCTATGCCTTTGAATTCTGTAATCTTTTCCTCTGCAATGTCTAATTTGTCATTAACCTCAACCATTATATTTTTCATTTCGGACATTGTAGTTTTTATCTCCATAACTTCAATTTAGGTCTTTAAAAAAATATCTTCTATGTCTCTTTGACTTTTTGAACATAAGAAAGATAGCTGTAATAACTGTTTTAATATCCTTCTCTGCTAATTCTAACACCTGTGTCAGCTAATTCTAACACCTGTGTCAGTGTTGAGTTGGTGTCCATTGATTAAGTTATCTCCGCATTACAGGTCACGTTTTTCTGCCTTTCTGCATGCCTGGTATTCTTTGATCGGCATCCATTGTGAATTCTACTCTGTTGTCTACTGGATATTTTTGTATTCCCGTAAATTTTCTTGAAGTTTTTTCCCCAAGATGCAGTTACTTGAAAGTAGTTCGATCCTTTTAGGTCTTGCTTTTATGATTTTATGATTTGTTAGGTGGGTCCAAACTGGCTTGTAAAAACAGATGAGAGGCTGGGCCCTGCTCCTTCCAGCCTTGCAGATGGTTATTTCTCAACCTTGCGAAGTCTCCTCACATGTACGTGCTCATCATTTCTGTGCTAAATATTTGAGGGGAACCATCCTCAGATCTCTGGAGTGGTCCCTCTGTGTGTCTCGCTTTTTCTGATGCCCTGTCCTGTGAACTCCAGTTGCCTTAATCTCCCTGACTGCTCAGCTCTGTGTGCTCAGCTGGGGTGAGCCAGGCTCCGCCTCCATTCCACTTCCCTGCACTGTAGCCTGAAAGCTGCAGTGAGCTCACTATCAAGACAGTGAGCTGAGGCAACAGCAGGGCTCACATTGTCTGTCCATCTCTCAAGGACTGCTGTCTTTCATTGCCTGACAGCCAGTGTCCAGAAAACTGCCGTGTCGTTGTTGGTGGTGGGTTTTGTTTTTTGTTGTTACAGACAGGAGGGTAAATCCAGCCCCTGTCATTTCATCTCAGGTGGAAATGAAATAGTCTGTCATGAATTTTTAGTGGATTCGTAGCATTCTACCGTACGGGTGTACCATAAGTATATCAGTCCGCTACTGATGATCCAGCCTCACAAGTGATGCTGCAAACGCCTTCTTTGTGTGTATATCTTGGCATCCTTTGTGAGTCCACAGAGAAAATTCCTATCTGTGGAATTCCTGGGTCCAAGGGTTTGTACATTTACATTTTAAATATATGGTCTATACATCCTCCAGTGTACACTTTTACCATCAGCAATAAGCCAACAATGGGGCAGACTTTATATTTTAAACTTAATAAATTACTTATGTCCTTTATTTATAGACTCAACAACTAAGTCCAGAAGGATCACTTGTATTTTTCAGTTTGCCCCTGTCTTTTATGAAGGAAAAGTACATGTTTGCAAATGTGTAGACTCTCAAATATCTGCAGACCTGTCCTTCAAGAATGTCAAAGTCTGTATGTCCAGCTTAGCCTTTAGGACCAGCGAGTTTTTTCCTCCAAGGGCTCTAAATCATCCCAGGTAGATATCCCAGATTTCCTTCTTTCCAACTCTTATTGTGAGTATTTTTGACTGTTGATTATTGGTTTCCTTCTTCTTCTTCAACCAGGGCTCAGAAACAGTAACAGGACTTTCTAAGCGCAGAGCGCGGACTACTTCCTTGACATCAAGTGATCCGATTCCAAGTGGAGTCTCTACCAAGCAGCCAAGTGCTGATCAGTCTCTGGATTATTCTGGTGGTTTGGGCCCAGATCAGACCTTATCAGGATCTGGTAGCACAGGATACCACGCTGAGGGGGCTACTAGCAGGGAACGAGGCAGGGGCCCCTCTGCTGCTGGTAGAGAGCAGCACCCCAGGGCCCGTGATGAAGCTGGCATGTCGAGACACCGCCAGCCTTCTGCATCCCAGTTCAGAGGGGACTCAGATCGTCAGAAGAGTAGAGAGAAGTTCTCCTTAACACATCCAAGAAGAGATGAACGAGATGCACACCCTGGCCCAGTTCAACAGGATTTAACCTCGACCAGAGATCGGCATCAATACACGCGCCCAGATCAGCAAGGTTGGGTTCCCATTAGCCAGGGTCAAGTCTATCTAAGGCCAGATTATCCTGGATTAGGACCAACTGGCATGGATCAGCCTGGATTGCTGTATCCTAGCACTTCTGCACATGGTGTGGTACCCCTCAGCATGGGTCAGCTTGGTGTGATACCACCGGCAATGGATGATCAAGGATTTGTACCACTTGTCACAGATCAGCATGGTGTGGTGCCACCATTGGTACCTGGCAGAGATCAGCATGAATTGGAATCACCTAGTATAGGCCAGCCTATTATGGTTCCACTCATCACATATCAGCATGTTATGATACCTCCTGGCACAGACCAACGTGGTGTGGAACAGCCTGGCATGTATGCAGGTGGTGTGGAACGACTTGGCCTGGATCAGCAGGGATTGATACCACTTGGCCTGGATCAGCATAGACTAGTACCCCCTGGCATGGATCAGCAAGGATTGGTACTGCCTGGCATAGATCAACGTGGACTGGTTCCACCTCTTACAGATCAGCATGGTTTGGTATTGCCTAGTTTGATGCAAGTTAGTATAGATCAGCAAGGTTTCGTACAGCCCAGTTTGGAAGCAACTGGCTTCATACAGCCTAGCACAGAGCAGCATGATTTTATCCGGCCTGGTGCATATCAGCCTGGATTGGTCCAACCTGGTATGGGTCAGCATGCGTTGCTGCAGCCTGGAATGGATCAGTCTGGTTTGGTACAACCTAGCACAGGTCAGCGTGGTTTGGTCCAGCCTAGCCCAGATCAACGAGGTTTGGTGCAGCCTGGCGCAGGTCAACATGGTTTGGTCCAGCCTG